TTCTGCACATCAGCCAAAATCAGCTTAAATAAAAGAACATTGGTCTGTCTTCTTCAGTACAGACAAACTGCTGCTTATGAATGTCTCTTTAGTTTATCACAAAGTGTAGTATTACATCAGGAATTCATACTCTCATTTGAGTGGTATCACTTCGATTATTCGCTTTTATGATGCTTATTGCAGGTCTTACTTGATTCTTATTCAAGTGCTTATTGTCTTTTGATATCTATGAGACTGTTCTATTGTTCTTCCATCTGATTGGCCCTTTGATTGACTTCAACACATCTATCCTATTATTTTGAACTGTTATTAATATAATTTGTGAATTTGTTGATATAATTCTCTTATTACCTGTTTCCAGGTTCATGCTATATTGAAGGATCTTGTTCACAAGGCTATCAATGAAACTCCAGTTAGTTCTGCTTGCCCATTTCGTGCAGTTTATATTATAATATTTATTTATGTTAGATACTTGTGGTGCCACTCACAGTTCCTTTCATTCTGTGAATCATCTTCTCTCTTATTGATTTGCTAGAATATATTTTTACTAGTGGAATAATTTGCTTCTTGATGATAAGGAAGATATGACAAATGTCTACTTTGCTTATGTTAGTCTTAAGAGTTAATGGAGAGATCTTATAAGATTAGACTAGAGGAGAAAGGAAATGAGGTAGAATATAATATTAGGAAAAATAGTATACTATGCCATGGGGCCAATAAAGGACAACTTCTATTAAAAACATGACCAAGATGCCAAACATCAGCCCTATACAAGACAATTAACCTTCTACAGGGGAAAAAAAACACTGGGGGGAGTTCATCCAATATTTACTTATGTCCATCATATCTTCGTTATCTATTCAGCATATATCCTGAATTATTCCACCATTCAATGGACTCTTGCATGATTTTTAACAGTTGAGATAAAGCTGAAATTTGCTACAGAATTTTTTTGCTGCAGAGTGTGGATTGAAAGGTTCGAGTCCAAATAGATATCTGGATTTGATGTCTGGTACCTTTAGTTATATTTAATTAAATCCCACATCATAGGAAATACTAGATTGAAGATCATTTTCCTAGACAAGGGACTCCAACAAAAAGATACATGGTAACATCCTATTATCTCATCACTACTCTTGCCAGGGGTATTTTTCATGCTGCAGCTCATACCAGCAACTCACACGATGTAAAGTGACTCTAATTGGACTAAAAAAAATTGACAAGTCTTTTGTGATCAGGCTGAAATTAATCATAAAACGGGACTAACAATCTTAGAACAAAATCTATTCAATTCAAATAAATCCACTCAAACTTTGGGAAACGGGAACTCGATATAACAAGTAAATAAACCCCTAAGTAGAGCAAACTTACTGACAATTTTGATCCAGTCTAACTCAAATTCTAACAAAATGACAAAATCTAACTCATAAAGAACTCAATAAAAAAAGATAATTGAATGCTAATCAAAGTAAATTGAAAGGAATAACTTTGTTTAGTCCATATTGGACTCGACCCTAGCCATGACCCTTTAACAACTGACACAATTCAAATCTGTGTCAGCCGATTAGACAATTTGGCATTTCTGGTAACTTTTGTTGGTAATTACATTTTTGTTTGTCATAATTGGTAGGAATCCAAGAGGTTGAAGCATTGAGCTTTTGCCGAGTTGTTCAAGTCTTAGTTAAGTCGAACAGTTAAAATTTTGTTAATTTGTTCAATATTTTCTCTTTAAGAAAAATTCAAATTTCCTTATTGTAGGAAACAAAATGATTTGTCTTGCTTGATATTTTGCAGGAGCTGAAGCAATACCCTACCTTGCGAGTTGAAGTTGCCAATGCAGCTTTTGAATCATTGGAGAGAATGAGGGAAGAAAGTCGAAAAGCAACTCTTAAACTAGTGGATATGGAGTGCAGTTACCTTACTGTAGACTTCTTCCGAAAGCTTCCTCAGGATGTTGAGAAAGGCGGAAATCCTGCACAATCTATTTTTGATAGATACAATGACTCGTACCTCAGACGCATAGGTGAGTTGTTTTAAGTCTATATCCAATCATAATTGTGTCTATTTCAGTCTGAGTTGCTTGTGATTATGTCAGTCTTCGTATGGTTAGGTCTAGAACTAGGAAGCCAAGGGCCTTTCTGATGTCTCATGTAATGGTGCACTCATTTGATGTGATGCATCCTTGTGACCTTTGATTTGAATAGACGATGTCTGAAGCTTTAGAATGTAGTGGGTGACATTCTACTTATTTCTTTTGAATGACAGGAACAACTGTTCTGGCATATGTCAACATGGTATGTGCAAGCTTGCGGAACTCCATTCCAAAGTCTATTGTATATTGTCAAGTTCGCGAGGCTAAACGCTCCTTGCTTGATCATTTCCTTACTGAGTTGGGAAAAAAGGAGGTAAGATCATACACTAATCAATTGTTCTAACTAAGATCCACTGCTAGTTTTTTCCTATATGATAACTATATGTTCTGTGTAATTGGAAGTTGTTCAAGTTTTGTATGGAAGAGTGGTAAGATATTAGGCTGTCCTTGATTATTTGATGATTTTGAGGGGAGATTCTGATGATACGGGATTTGGTTCTTGTAAAATTAGCTAAATCATCATAGAACTTGCAGACATTGATTGGTTTCTGTGACCACCATTTCTCACAAGGAGCAAGTGCAGTGGGGATCTGGGATGGACCCTCTTCTTTGATCACAATCCAAGAACATATACTATATAGTCTGACAGCTGTATCCGGTAAGCTTGTGATAGGAGAGTGAGAACAAGAGGTGGTAAAGGATTGGATTGAAGCATTGCATCCACCATTGGAAATCCAAACGTTTTAATGGTTGGGGTGGGGGATTTTGTTGGGGGTTGCATAAATAGCATATTTTTGTTATATATATAGTCTATTGGCTTCTGTCATGATTTGCATATTCAATCTATTTCAACCCAAATGATTGGCTTGATTTGGAGCATGTTTCCATTAAAAAATGTACTTATCAAAATTCAGATTGGGGCGCTGTTTCACCGCGAGAACAGACGGATAAGATTAGCAGATTGCAATAGATTGTTGAGTAATTAGCCTTTATTAGCTATGGTTGGTTGATCTTGTTTGCGAATGACATAGAACAACAGATCCACCTTAATATATTCTGTTACTGGACATCAACTTGAATTTGGTTCTTTGGGCAGGAATGTAGTGAAAGTTTTGATCTGTATATAAACCACAAATCAACTTGTATGTTTAGGAATTGATGCATTTTGTACATATATTAGTCGCCAAAGTTTCTTATGCCTTAATCCTTTGTGCTATTGCAATCATTTGGGAAAAACTATGTATTGTATTATGTACAAGCAAAGACAGAAATAAATGTTAATTATGGATTGTGCAGGCTAAGCAGTTGGGATCGATGTTGGACGAGGACCCAGCGATCATGGAGCGCAGAGCTGCCCTTGCCAAGAGACTAGAACTATACAAAAGTGCTCAAGCTGAGATCGATGCAGTCGCATGGTCTAAGTAGGGGTGCCTGAAGGGGATTGCCATTTCCTCTCCCACCTCCATCTCTCACTGTTGCTGTATATATGGACGCATTCATTTATGATGACTACAACATTTGAGTGAGAATTCAGTCCCAATTTATATGCTTTTACTAGTAACAACCGAAGAGTATCAGACCCTTTTTTCTTATCTTTGACATAGATTATAAATATCACGAGCTTGTATAATTTAGATGTCTTGTTAAGAACTGCATTATGTCAGGGAGAATCTGTCGAACTTTTTGTGTTGAGCAATGCCAATTGCTATTATCTATAGGTTCATATTTCTGAAACTCTTGTATGTTTGATGGGAATAGCCTTCAGAAATGTTGGAACCATTGTCTCCCTGTTCAAGCCAATTTGGCTGCAGAGCACTGACCCAAACGAAAGAGAAATCAAGAAACAGTGCCAAGAAAATTCTATCAAATCCATCAGATGACTCCACCGACAAAAATGCATGCGTCCATCGCATAATCTCCGGAAATTCTGAAAAGAAGAGAAAAAAAAAAAAACAAGAAGTAAGAGAAGACCAGACCATGGAGTATCACCATGTCAAGGTGGTTCATGTTAGAACGAACGCCCATTTGCATCGATGCTTTCCACCATGGAGTAATCGATTTGTGACTTCTCACGTATAGCAGAGCTCTCCTCCCAAGGGGAAGAGAGGGTTGGCAATTATAGCAGGAGACCGAGATGACGAGGTCCGGTTTCTTCGTTCCAGGCGTTCGACGAGGGGCTTCCACGGACCTCTTCAAACTCCCAAAAGGTTTTATCTTGTTTACGGCTTCGCATGGATCGTTCTGTAAACTACTTTAATCTACGCACGAACATAAATAAATAAATGCTAATGATTTGTGTGTTCCATAATCATGTACGGATTAACGATGAGTCACCTATAGCTTAATCAATATAAACTCTTGATCCAGTTTAAACCCATACCAGTCGTAAACAAATATGTTAACTTGATTGATCTAAAAGAATTATTATGATATAACCTGAATGTAATACCTTGATTTAGTTCCGATATACAATAAAAGTTTATTGTGATGTAATGCCATGATACGTTACGTCCAGATTTGATTTTAAACTATGTTGGTTTTTTTTTTTGACCAAGACATTGAACATTTAAGTGGAACATTGAGTCGTAATATTCACATCACAATAAACTTTCAAACCTGCATGGCAGAATATAGTTTTGAGAAATGACTCTTTGGAATGATTTATTTTAATGATTTGAGATAATTCCAAGCACACAAGTATCAGCTCCACATATATCAATAGTGGCCGCAAAACATTTTGAGATGAAGAGAAAAAACACATGGAAATAGAGAGGAAGAGACATCTATATAAAAGCGAAAAAAGACATCAGGTTTTATTGACCTCTGGATGTATGCATCAGCTTTTTAGACACAATAAGATTCATGAGCTTCTGTTCATCTTCTCAGTAAACTGTGTGAGACTTGAGCCGAAAGAAAGAGATGTTAAGTGCTCCAGTTCAAATGTCTCAAGTAACCTCACACCTGTGTATGATCAAGCATGATCATCACTAAATAGCAAAAAGAAAATGAAAAAATAGATGGGGTAAGTTGCAGCGACTGGCATGTGGATCGAGACATTATTTAGATACAACCTCCATCAGTCGACTGCAACCTATCCACTTACAGCTTGCATATGGTGATCTATATGGTTAGTTCATTAAGATGACAATCCATGATGTTGGAAATAGACTCCATGAAAACAGTTTCAGTAATTCCTGGGCAGGCAATACTATTTGCTTCATGGATAATTTCTTCAATTTTGGACTCCTCGTTGATGGTTTCTCTGCACAAGATACTTCCGATGTCATATGGTGTCAGACCTTTCTCGACTCCCTTCTTCAGTAGCATGGTGGAGATGCGAAGAGTGCGAGAACACTCCAGAGACAACTCCCAGCCATAGAACTTCAGAAGAGCAATATCCTGCTCAGCATCCAGCGATCGAATGTAGTCAATTGTTTCGGTGTCAAACGGCTGACGTGATTGAGGCCAATAGAGCCACTCAAAGGTGCAGTCTTCAAACTGCAACAATAAAAGCATTAAAGACAGAAATTTTCTCAAGATTTTAATGAAAGCAATATGCTAAATAGAAGTAGGTGTTACAAGTTGTTAGGCACGTTAGGAGCTCAAACTAAAGATACTGATCTCACATATATCTTTGCCCCCGTTTCTATTGTCGAATGTTAAATCAAGACTATACAATATATGTCACATTAAGATATCTACAATTTCAAGCAATAACACACTCGATTAAAAGAAATGTGAAAGATAATGCTCTTAAAGTTATAAGCAAAACAAAGTCAACATGTGAATCAGAAATCAGCATCCATTTTGTATTATAATGTAATGGATTGTCACAAGAATACACAAAACACACTATTCTCAATCTAAAGACACATATTTGCTAATTCTAAGTGTTGAAGGCAATATCATTTTCACTAACTTTCAAGCCCCAATAAAATATTGCTCCCACTGCTCCACCTGTCATGTTCTTCAATTCCAAGAAAAAAATGTTTTCAAAGGAGGAAGAATAATGTAAGTCGAACAGAACTGCTACAACAGATGCTGAATAGTCGCACAAAGAAAAACATGTAAAGCAATAATAAAAAGTGTCCTGCACAAAATGAAAGGGAATATCAAAGTGAAATCCATGTAGACAAGAGACTGATGAAGATAGATGAATTTGAAATAATGTGAGGAAGATTTAATGAGAGATTGGATGTCAACAGTAATCTGAAGATACGTAATGAATTTTACTTCCCAATTGACCGATAACAACAGTATGACATGAACCTTGGTGTTATTGTAAATTTGTTCCCTCGTGACTTGAGTGAACAAGGTTTGAATCAAGAAATAGCTTCTATGCTTCTAGGATAAGACAATGTGGATCAAACCGTTCTAAACTCCATATAAATGGAAGCCTCATGCACAAATATGCTGATTTGGTTAGTTTAAGATAATCTTCCACCCGTTTCCTAATGTACAAGATGCTTAGTCTAAGCCTAAAAGATTAAAGCATGTAGCTACTATCAGGCCCAGTGATTGAAATATTGACTACAGAGTCTGGACTATAGCTGTACACATAAACATGCATCTATATGATCCTAAAAGATGAAAACCTCATGCACAAATATGCCGATTCACCTCAGAGTCTACATGATGAGGTGATAAACTCACATTCTCAGGAAGGCAGTATCCATGATCAATTGGAACCAGCACCAAGTGGTCTTCTTCTCCCTCCTTGCAGAGTAGTATATTCCCAGCATGTCGATCAGCATTTGCCAGTCTTATATCCAACACACAGATTTTATGAACTTCTTGAACTGGAAATGCCCGAGGTCCCATTTCTTCACAACTTCCACAATTCTTCATGAACATCTGCAATGATCCAATCTTAAAATGCTTCATTGCATGCTCATATTCTACAGGATGGTTGAAACTTCCGTGCAAGCACCGCACCAAAACTGTTGGTGGAACACCAGAAAACCCAACATCAACACATGAAAATGACCGGCGCCCACTTATAGGATGGTCAAGTATGTAAGCTGCGACTTCCCTAAGGGCACCTTCTCCTACTCGAGTCCTCCTCTTCAAACCTTCACCGTTCACTGACAATGGAAGTCCTCGAGGATTGTTTTCAGCCATTGGCTCCTCATCAATTGGTTTAAAAACAGCAACAAATTTGTCACCTGATATATCCTGCATAAAGTAAGCTCCCCCTGTACCTTCCAAAGACATGATTGGTGGATTCCCATTCTCCAATCCAGCAAGAGTAGCATGAAGGAGATCCCTGATCACTTGAGGCAACTCAATCTTTGGGTTCACGATGATTGGCTCAATCCAGACATTCTTACATGTAGACTCTGTGGTCGTTACCTGAATATCATTCACATTTTCCTTCTCTTCGGACAATGGTGCTACAATGGAAAGCTCAAAGTCTCGTTCAACAGGCTTTGACCTCAACTCTGCTGATTTGTGCAAAAGTAAATGAAACACAGCATCATCATTCTTGCAAATATCATGAATCATCCTCTTGTCATCGAGTTCCTCGCAAGCAAAGACAAGTTTTTGATTTTGAAGATCCACATATGGGTTACCCGTCTTAGCAATTTGCCTTTTAACATATTGTACAGTTTGGCCCCCCTCGATATGAAACTTGAATTTCTTCCCACATGCAGTTTTAACAGTGATGACACGAACATCTGAGATGTGGATGACAAGGTGGAGGATGTTCCCATTGGAGATCCCATAATCCCGGATGAGGCTATCATTCCTACTCAGCTCTCTGCCATCAAACACTAGCTTCTGATTTTTCACAACAAACCCTTTGCAGGTCTGGATCCTAAGCTTCACAGAGGCAATCGAGTCAGAAGCCAGAACGCTCATTGGGGTCATGGAAGCACCAGGAACTGCAAGGTAAATCATAATGGACTCCACGGAACAATGTGGGGTTCTCGTGCCATTAGATTGGAAGAAAGAGACAGCAGGATCTTCATTGATTGGCCTAAGAGTGATTCCGGCGGATGCCATCCTGAATCCTCAACTCGTCGCTAGCGGAATGAACCACGAGCAAGACGAGGGCCTCTCAAAACGTAAAGGCCACTTCTGAATTCGATCCAATGCACCTGCGGACAGATCAATGAGTGAGCACCTAAGAGGCCTGATTAAATCCACAAATCCTTATCTAACTGTAAAAATCCAATTTTTCATAAATCCAACCCCACCAAAAAGAAAACTTTGGCTTGGAACTCTAAATTCCCGCAGACCCCAATTTCCCCAGCGAAGTCCGAGCTAACACTAGACTTGAAAGGAATCAGCTTTACGTCGATCAGGGCTCCAACCAAGACCAACTGCGATTGACAGGTCGTTTTGTGCGCAAAATGCGATCAAAACAGCATGAGAAGGGCGAAAGAAGATCGAGAATTTGAGACATTAAAGACAATGTGGTAGACCCGCCGAAGAGCAATGGCAAAAAGAGGAATGGATTCTTACCGGGAGGGAAGAACCAAGTGCGAGGGGGCGACGCAGGGGAGCTTAAATTGGGCGATAAAAATAGCAAACCGCTTCGATCGATTGACGAGGGGCGTTTCGTCAAATCAGGGCTTCGCTTCGACCCGATCGCGCCCTTCCTATCTACCACTCGCGCCAGTTCCGGCCTTGGCTGCGAGCATTGCGCTTCGCAAGTCCCTCGAAATGGGAACTGCGAGCGACGGTAAGAGACAACGAGCTACGTGGTCGGATCTGTCGCCGTTTTCCACGGTCTGATCCGAACCTGACGGAAATGCTCATGTTGACGGCGTTATAATGCGATAACCTGGGTCTGAATTACCAAAATGCCACCACGGGCCTTTTATGCTTTATTGGGCTTAATATATCCCACCATAAATTTATCCTCACTCCGCGCATCAAGATTCGTGAAATATTGTCCATTCACTATCCGACGCCTCGTTGGGCTTGGATTGTCCCCTCCGACTTGGATGCTCATCATCGATCTGCTTCAAGATTCGCAAAACGTTGTACGGCACTATCTAGGGCCTTGTTGGGCTTGGATTAGCCCGTCCGTTGCAAGCCCATCATTGTGAGCTTTACAATGCCCAAGTACTATCCTAGGCCTCGTTGGGCTTGGATTGAGCCTCGTTGATTCGCATCAAGATTCGTGAAAACCATCCAACGCGTCCATCCTACGAATCGGAACCTCCAAACCCCCAAACCCTCGTCTATATCGTGCCGACGCCGAGCTCTCAGTGGTCTTCCAATCCCCAACACCCCCGCGGAAGAGGAGGAATGGCTCTCTCGAAACCCCTCTTCCTCTCCCACCACCTCAAATCCCTCAAACCGTATTACCCCCGCCCTTCCTTCCCCTTCGCCTCCCACCTCCGCCTCTTCTCCTTCGCCACCCCGGAGGAGGCAGCCGCCGAGCGCCGCCGCCGCAAGCGCCGCCTACGCATCGAGCCACCCCTCTCCTCCCTCCGCCAGCAGCAGAAGCCACCCTCCTCGTCCGCCCCTCCTCGGTCCCCAAGGACGGCCCCCAACCCTAACGCCCCGAAGCTTCCGGAGCCCATCTCCGCCCTCGCCGGCAGCCGCCTCAACCTCCACAACCGCATCCTCACCCTCATCCGCGAGAACGATCTCGACGAGGCCGCACTCCTCGTCCGCCATTCCATCTACTCCAACTGCCGGCCCACCATCTTCACCGCCAACGCTGTTCTCCACGCCCTCCTCCGCCAGTCCCGCTACGCCGACCTGCTCTCCCTTCACCGCTTCATCACCCAGGCAAACGTTTCCCCCACCGTCATCACCGTCAACCTGCTTCTGCAGGCCTTCTGCGACTGCCGCAAGACCGACATCGCCCTCGAGCACTTCCGCCTACTCCTTAAAGACGACGCGCCTTTCCCTCCCTCTCCCACCACCTACCGCATCCTTGCCAAAGGACTGGTCGACAATGGCAAGCTCGACCAAGCCCTCGAACTAAAGGACGACATGCTGGCCAAGGCCTTCGTGCCACCCGACCCCATCGTCTACAACTATCTCATGCAGGGCTTTGTTAAAAAAGGCGACCCCGACAAGGTCGTCTCCCTCTATGAGGAGCTGCTGGAAAAGGTTGGCGGCGGAAAGATCCTTGACGGCATCGTGTATGGGAACCTCATGAAGGGCTATTTCGGAAAGGGAATGGAGAAAGGAGCCATGGAGATATACCGTGATGTCCTAGGTGAAGGCTCCAAGGTCAGATTTGGTGCAGTGAGCTATAACCTGGTGCTGGACGCGTTGGGAAGGAATGGAAAGCTCGAGGAGGCCATTGACCTGTTTGATCGGATGCTAAAAGAGCACGACCCTCCGAGGAGGATCACGGTGAATTTGGGAACCTTTAATGTGATGGTGGATGCCTACTGTCTTGCTGGGAGGTTCCCAGATGCAATCACTGTCTTTAGGAAGATGGGCGAGCAGAAGTGCATCCCTGACACATTGTCTTATAACAGTTTGATTGAACATCTTGGGAGCAACAAGTTGGTTCCAGAGGCGGAGGAATTATACAAAGAGATGGGTGAGCGTGGGATCAATCCAGATGAATACACGTATGTCTTGCTAGTGGAATCATGTTTTGGAGTGGATAGGGTGGATGATGCAACAGGGTATTTTCAGAAGATGGTGGAGTTGGGGCTGAGGCCAAATGCAACTGCATATAATAAAGTCATTGGTGGACTGGTGAATGTAGTACGGCTCGATGAAGCAAAGAAGTTCTTCGACCAGATGTTGGAGAAGGAGGTGAAACCAAATGTCATGAGTTATGAGCTGCTTCTCAAAGGTTTCATTGACTCTGGCCGGTTGGATGATGGACTTAAAACACTAAAGGATCTGCTGTTAGATGATGGAGTGACATTGAGCCAAGAAATAAAGGAGCTTATGGAGGAGGCATTGAGGAAGGAAGGGAGAGAGGAGGAGATGGGAAAACTGTATGAGGATGTTGAGAGGGAGAAGGCTGAACGATTGGCCCGGGAAGCGGAAGAGAAAGCAAGAGCTGAGGCTCTTGCTAAGGAAGAAGAGGAGAAGAAGAAGAGGGAAGCTGCTGAGAAGGAAGCAGCTGCTGCAAGGGCTAGTGCTGCAGCTATTGAGGCAATTTTGGGACGGAAGAAGGATGCTGCCAACGAGGAGTCTACTGCTGTCGGTTCCAGTGCTCCTGTTAGTGGGATACTTGGTGAAGAGAAGAATGGTAGTGAGTCATCTGTACAATCTGAAACTGCTGATTCAGCAGCTAATTGCGAGGTTCTTCCAGAAGAAAGAAATGATGGTTTGGACGATGAAGCAAAGGAAGGATCTGGAGATGCTGATCAACAGGTATCTGCTTCAGGAAATTGAGCTTGTCTCAAGAACAAATCATTGGAGGGGCTTGATAAGATAATCTTCTATTCCATGTCATTGTTGTCTGTTACTGTAGTTCTGAAGTTCCATTTGCAACATATCATAACTTGTCATGATAGGAGTATAATGCATCTAATTGTTAAAGGTTGTTCACAGTGTTGATCTTACAAACTATAAGTTCTGGTTCTATTTTTACTGGAATGTCATAACATCAAAAAACTCATGTTTTGAATTAAGATGATTACACTCAATGTATGGCTAGAATGTGGCATTTACTGCACCAATAACCTGTGCTATGTTTGCTGATCTTCTCTTTGGAAAAGTGATTTGCTGTAAGTTTCTGATGGCTTTCACTTTCTGCATGTAATTCAATGAATTAAGAATTTCTTATTTTTCGCAAATATCATGCTTCGGCTCAAGGTTTAGGTTTTGGCCTTCTTGAACTTTTCCTCTGGTCCAATGCTTTATCTATCATGTTTGCTGCATAGTTCTAAACCTTTTTTGCATTTGATCACTTGTGCTATTCATTTTGTCTTTCAGTATCGATGTCTGAAAGTTACTAAGAATATATTCTCTGCTCTCAGAATTTTGTTCACAGAGCTTTGTATGGACATCACCATGTTATTTTAATTCTGAAGTTCAATTTGCTATTTGTTTTAGCTTCCTGTAATAGGAGTGTAATGCAGCTAACTACTGAAGTTTACATGTTTTTGAATATTGGTGACCATTTGAACTATAAGTTCTGGTTCTAGTTTTATCAGAACACCATTGTCAAGGAAAAAAACCCATTATTTGGAATAAAAAAGATTCTGTTACTACTACTAGAAAGAACATATGCATTTGTGCTATATCTTCTGGCGTGCTTTATTGAGTTGTGCTTTGCCAGACAATGTATAACTTCAATCCGATTCTGGTATGATCCAGTTTGATGATTATCTCACATGGAAACCTATGGCCGATTGCACTTTCTTCACATATTCAAGTATAAATTCAAGGACTTGTATCTTTTGCAGATAAGAACATATTTTTAAGAAGGTTTAATGTTTTAGCTTTCATGGAGCTCATCCTTTGGTTCTATCTGTGGATCTGAGATGGATTCTGCTTTATCTATTATTATTGTTTTTCAGTGCCTATGTGGATTTCAAAATTCTTTCAATGTCTATTGTTATCCTTTGGTTCTAGCTGTGGTCTGAGATGGATTCTGCTTTATCTATCATTATCATTTTTCAGTGCCTATGTTGATTTCAGAATTCTTTCATTGTCTTTCGTTATCCTTTGGTTCTAGCTGTGGATCTGAGATGGATTCTGCTTTATCTATCATTATCGTTTTTCAGTGCCTATGTTGATTCCAAAATTCTTTCAATCCAATCTCTCAAATTGATAATTTATAGTATGGTGCATGCTAGGGTGAGTGGTGCTCATACCATCATGTACCTCCAATCCCATCAATGGATAGTCCTTTCCTATTTAGATTCTTTATCATTCTCAATTCTAGATCTATTTCGATATCAATTGTCATGAGAACGATAACCATTTGTCATAAGAACGATAACCAAAACCTGGACATGAGATCCAACCCCACGATGGTTTCACACCATGATATATCTTTGGTCACGTCCATGAGTAATCCTTTTCTACTTGAGTCTCTCATCCAATACTAAGGCTGTTCTTGTACCATTTGTCATAATATGGATCAATGAAATAATTGACTACAAACATGTTTAAGCCAGGTTAATACTAATAGACACATCTAACCCTCTTGACCTGACTCAAATCTCCACTTCTAGGTGTCTCAGCTGTTCAGTTGCTCTCTTCAAATTTTAGTGCTGCAAACTCTGTTGAAGAATAAACCAGGGGAATGTTATTCCCTCACTGTTCTTTACCTGCATTTTGTCAAATGCCCTGGGGACATCCCAATTCAATTGACAATGAAATTGGAGCTGTTAATTAATAGATAGCAACAATATGCATTAGGTAGGGGTGAAAATCTTGATGTGAACCCATTGCATTCCGCAGCCTCACCTGAATAAGCTAGAGTATCATCTTTTGATTATTGTTCGACCTAATCCAACCTTGTTTTTTTTTTTTTCCTGATAATCAATGTAAATCTTTCCTGGCCTGCTGGAAATCTTCATTAGCTGGAAGGAAGGTTGGATTTGGATCCACTTTATGTCCTTATTGTCCCACCTCAACCCCATCCGACTCGACTCAATCCAATCCCTGTAAGTTGGTTGCTGAAACTCTTTCACAAGCTACACCTGCAGAGTTTAACAACTGAACATGTCTTCACTAATGTAAGTTTTTATTTTATCTGGTATCGTATGCTTTATCCTTGTTTATTATTATCCAAGCATGATGTAAAGTGTCAAAGAATATTGCTGTTATCTAATTCCTTGGAGACCATTTCTGAACAGATTAATATTACTTGGTAAGGATCAGTGGCCATAGGTGGCATAAGTTCATCCACTCTGAAGTGTGCATGACATTCTGCTCATGTAGGCTGCTTATTTAAGAGGGTTATTAGAATTCTTGTTGATGATCTTCTCGGGACCAAATAAACTTAAGGTTGGCCAATCTTTTGAAGGATTGATTGGCTAAGACTCATCTAGCTGCAATATGGCTTTTTTCCACAGGTAGAGTTATCCACTTGGAGATTAGATCTTTCCCATGACACAGCTCAATGATACTACTGATCATATATGTTGTTCCTATGCCAACTCAACAAGCAGTCCTACCTCAGTTGTTGCAGTGTGTGTTGGTAGTAAATTAGAATACATTGAAATCATAATGGCTTTTTTCCACAGGTAAAGAGTTATCCACTTAGAGATTAGATCTTTCCCATGACACAGCTCAATGATACTACTCCTGATCATATATGTTGTTCCTATGCCAACTCAACAAGCAGTCCTACCTCAGTTGTTGCAGCGTGTGTTGGTAGCAAATTAGAATACATTGAAATCATAATGGCTTTTTTCCACAGGTAGAGTTATCCACTTAGAGATTAGATCTTTCCCATGACACAGCTCAATGATACTACTCCTGATCATACATGTTGTTCCTATGCCAACTCAACAAGCAGTCCTACCTCAGTTGTTGCAGTGTGTGTTGGTAGCAAATTAGAATACATTGAAATCATAATGGAGCTTTAGAATACTTTACATTAGATTTCGTACATATTTGGAGACCAGAGACAGGCTTACTACTATCATCCATCAACCCTCATCCTTGGTGGTGTTTGGTGTGTGTCGATTGCCATGTCATCTATTAATTTTGGGAGGTGATCCTTATCGATGTGGTCTAATTTTGGGAGAGAATTCTAATTGTGGTAGTTTTAGTTGTTACCAATTGTGGACTGAAGTGAAAAGAGGGAGGAGTAAGTACCTCTTTCTTGGCTTCTTCTTACTGCTTTAGCATCTCCAAACAACAAAACAAATAATAAACATTATTGTTTATTCCAACATCCAAGATGCCTGAAATATACAGAAATACTTAAATATGCATCAAGAACATGATTCATTGATATAGCTTGAAGAAAGAATTGGTATCTGGTTCATACAACCTGATCATACACTTTCTTGGCTTCGTAGTGTTTCAGCATAAAACATCTCCAAACAACAAATCATAAACATTACTGTTTATTACAACATGCAAAATGCCTGAAATATACATAAATACTGATTGAATATGCATCAAGAACATGATTCATTGATATAGCTTGAAGACAGAATTGGTATATGATTTATACAACCTGATCATACACTTTCTTGGCTTCTTAGTGTTTTAGCATAAAACTTCTCCAAACAACAAAACAAATAATAAACATTACTGTTTATTACAACATGCAAAATGCCTGAAATTTACAGAAATACTTGAATATGCATCAGGAACATGATTCATTGATATAATTCCAAGAAAGAATTGGTAACTGGTTTATACAACCTGATCGTACAAAACAGGTTTCTGAATCTGGAACAGGAAGGAGTAGGATCAAGCGTATTTTGTGTAACAAGAAGAAAACAAGCCTCCAAATTATTGAGGGAACAACATCTGTCTAGCTGACTACCAGCTTAATTAATTTATGGGCAAAATTAAAATCAAGGTGAAAAAATTCATCATCCAACAATCAAAAATTTGACAGACGAGCAAACTGGCTTTCGATTGAGAAGGTTCAAACGTAGTAGCCAGTAAAGGTGAATCCTCGTCCAACTATCTCACCAACACAGGACCATGCGTACAGCTCGAGACCAAATAATGCTGCTATGCTGGCTTCCTCGACTTTGAGATCCTTTTTGTTTCTCCAGATGTGCCTCAGGCCATCAATCTCCTTCCAGAATGATTCGTACCGACCAGGAATGCTGCAATCAAAAGCTGTTTATATAGAGGCATTCTAAGCCTAGATTTCTTTTCATCAAAATCAAAATCTGAACTTTATACAACCAGCATGGAGTAATAATATTGACCTATCTTGAATGATAATTTAAGGGGATTTTGTTAAGAGAGGGCCATAACAGAACAAGCATAAACCTCTTCAGGAAAATTGAGGTCCAAACCTCCAAGCAAACCAAAATATTCATTATCGATCCACTTCTTAAATATTCCTAGTATAGATGCACTTCCTAAAACATAAGTCCAACTCCAACTTATAAAACAAAATCATTTATTTGCAACATATCATAGAAAACAGTCATGATGGATACAACATTAGCTTAAATGAAGACTCAGTTAAATATGTCGTTTAAATAACTTCATGAATCTTGCTGTCATCATATATGAATAATGATGATCATGTTTATCAGCTCCAAGGTACCTCTAATGCCCAAAATAAATCATTTTTGGTCAATTTTAAGTCTGTCTACCATAATGAAAAATGTACTGTAAAGGATCATCACAAGGTAAATTCAAGAAAAGGGTTCAAATGTTGGCTTATCCCCTCGCTCTAACTGCTGCTCAGCACAGGTGAGCGGCCAAAGGAAGCCAAAGCTCAATATTCGCCCATCACACAATGTGCATTGTGTGCCACGATAACAACCTTTCCCGTGGAATACCACGCCACTCCATGGCTTAAGGGGGAAGCGCTCGGCCTTGGGCGTGTTATTTTGCAGAAGCATCCTAAAGGACACATTACTGATGGTGACGGTAAGACTTCAACACGTTCCTTGACAGCAGCAGCAGTATGATTTATCAAAAGTTAGAAAAAAAAAACAAAAGATTGTGTTTGTTTCAAGACTAGAGTAATAGGGTTGAATTATCTAACTTAGCTAGTTAATTTCAATCCTTTTTGTTTTACTGCTGATTGCTATCAATCAAACTTTTTTATCTTGTTAACAAAGAATACAACATAAGATCATTTTAACGCACACTTCCACTTCCAGGTTATTTGGTTTAACCTCCTTTGACTAGATGATATTGTTCGGAGAGTCAAATTTAACCTACCTTAACCCTGAAACATAAGCACCACCCCCCCCCCCCCCAACACACACAAATAAAATAAAACTATGATGGAATTATCACCTATCGAGGAATTTCAAAGTATATGATAATAATAACCTGAGAAAGGACAACAAGATCAGCTTCCCTAGTTACATGGTACCTAACTATTCTACAGTTTATTCGAAGCACATTTTGGGAATAAGGAAACTCCACACACACACACACACACAAATATATATATATATATATATATATATATATATATATATATATATAAAAGAAAATATATCACCCATCACAATGAGGGTTCATAAAGATCCTACCTGCTCATAGAAAAATCAAGCAAAACCTTCTGAATCTGCAGATCAAGATGTCAGACGAGATTCAAACAAATATCTACATTAGGTCCAAAAAAAATCTTATACACATGCTATGCTTAGAGAAATAAATATATCATGTTGCTAAGCAGTAGGACAATCTATGGCACACAAACCAACCTTCTACCTCTCTAGTTGCTCTTGCTCATTTTTGATACTTGTTATGGATTTAATCAAACCATATATAACAAACCAATACTCTTATTCATGAGCCAATAATCACACTCAAACCAGAAAACATATGTTCAATGATCATTATTTAGGCTCATCTTGTTTGACAAATGTTTACAACAAGACCAACCCAATCGCGATACTTGTCTGTATTCCCTAACAAAGTATATAAAAAGATGCGAATCCGAACCTTGCCAGACGCGTGTAAAAGAGCTGCTTTGACAACTCTTGGCACTTCTCGACGGAAGGTGGTTGAACAATATACTGCTTGTTCTTCTCCAGAAGCTCCTTATAGTATGCGCAACCGTTCTTCGCCACAAACTCCGAGGCTTGGGCAGCCTTAGATCGAAGCTGGTGCAGCCTCGCCGCCATCTGCCAACTAAAAAGAGACCACGCCATACAGAAAAACAATCATTTCATCAGACATCCATTTGAAGAACGACATATAGATCATGTACACGATATAGAAGAAGACCTAACGATCCAAATGCCCATCAACGTGCTCAACAATCCATGTCAAATACAGAGCACAACTTTACTGAGTCAAGACCTCGAGGAATCACCAGAAGGGTAAACCCCTAAGTGATGGCACAAAACTAAAAGGAGATACAAATGCCGTAAATTACAACAAGAAACGGAAGGGGGATCTGGAAAATTCCAGGTACAAGGAAACCCCAGATACGACGAGACGATAAGAAAAGAACGATCTGGAAAAAGGGATTCCAATTAGAGATCGAGAGCAACTCAATCGACATAGCAAGCATACCTCTCTCTGTCGCCTGGGGCAAGCAATAGATCGGAGAGCGGAACAAAGTCCGAGGAGAAGAGGTTGGGAGCGCAGCAAGGTCGCCGTGACGGCCGCAGGCGTCCGATACTTAATGGCACAGATGCGGTGGGGGTACTATCGTAATTTTGTTGCAAGAGTTAGGGCTCCGTGTCAGTCACTTCGGTGACTTCATCTTCCCGAACCGATTCGGATCCGACCCGATCTGCCAACTCATAGAACCAGTGGGTTGGGTTGGATCGAGTCGAAGCAAATCGGATCTTGTTAGATTCACAGGTCGAGTCAGGTTGAATCGAGCTGTAACGTCAACAATGGCTACGCTTAATAAACTTTGACCCGACCTTCCAACTGGTCCAACCCAATAGGATTGATTTGATAGGTCCAAGTCAAAGATCCCGACGCCCCACTTCAACGGTTGACTTCACAGACCAGGATTCGGAATCCAATACAAAGTATTCATAATGCTAATCATACCTTTGTCCTAAAGCTTCATCCATGAATTGACCACCTTATGATCTTAGACTTCTGTAATTAAGCTTCAACTTTCACATTAACTACAGAACAGTGGACATGCACTGCAGATATCTTTTTTTCTCAAGAATCACCCATCAGAGAATATTTATTCTACATGGTCAAGAACAAACAGTACTTATTGAGTTACACAGAATATTTAGGGTTTTAGCTTCATAAAATGATATTAGTACATACAGCAGGATGAAAATTATCTGTGATGCCTTCAAAACAGAAACAGTGAGAGAGTCTCAGCATAGTAGCTTTTATCAAGCACATACATAGAAGCGATCCATTGATAATATGGACTCCTCCTCTACTTGGTCCACCAAAGAAGGAAATCCTTGCGCCTGTTGATCTTCTTCTGGAGCTGGAGGACGCCGTAAAGTAGAGCCTCGGCTGTAGGAGGACATCCAGGAACATAGATGTCGACGGGAACAATTCTGTCACAGCTGCGTACAACAGAATACGAGTAATGATAATACCCACCACCATTTGCACAACTGCCCATGGCCATCGAGGCTCAGGCATCTGGTCATAGACCCTGGATGGAACAAAAGAAGAGATGAAAGATTAGTAGGTTGTGAAACGATATCCTATTATCTAAAGGAGGAAACTTTTTTAAAGAAGAAATTGGGCTTTCTCTTCGATGGCATAAAAAAGGAAAGAATTTGATATTGACTTGTGAATTTGTCATCTCCTTCATAGCTTTTCCATTTAAACTATTCTTTTGTTGAGATCAAAACTATAAATGTACAGAAATGAACCCCTAATGCATTAACCTACACTCCCACTAATTGCATATCGGATTTGCATCCCAAACTCAGGAAGTTCTAGTTTGCTGAGTAACATATCAAAATTCCAGACAATCTCCAGAATGTATCCAACCATCTCTCATTTTGTTAAAGTTGTATGGCGAAAAATTTGAGCAGCATATTTGCACACAAGAAGAATTGAACCTTCCCACAATCTCCTGTATGATGTACTCTGCCGAAACCTAGTAATATTATCTCCCTTTACAACAAGGCTTTGGTTCCAAGGTGCAATCATCTTAAACAGGAACAATTCAAATATACTTATGCCTGCTTAAATAATTTAAACAATAAGCCATAATATCCCTACTATTTGGATATTTATCGTCATTAGGTTCCATAAAAAATATTTTGACATGGCAACTGCAAGTCCAAATTAAGAACATTATGTCATCCTCACAAACTAATAGAATGTAAGTTCCTATATTTTGAACTACTTAACCTTGGCATCACCGTCGGCAATTAAAAAAATTGTACCACTACAAGTTAGTTTAAGAAAATCATAGTTCAACTTCTCAAATGAGCAATAACTTCCATTGAAGACTTCCTGCCATGCTTGTACAATGATATAATGTTTTAAAATGAAAGTTCCAACAGCATGAAATAAGTCCATGACTTCTAAATCAAGAGAACTAGATTTCATCAAATATTGTTCTAGAAGATAAAACTTTGTCTAAAATATAAAATAAATATCACTCTACAACAGAGAAAACTTTAGCAACAAGAACATTCCTCCCAACAGTTGCAGATAAATAAAATTCTGTAATCAAAATACTCTTTAAGTTATTAAGGATTAGCATAGGTGTTTTGTCAAGTGACAACTGACAAAAAAGTTCACTAGATTAACAGATATAAATTCAAGTCAACTTGGTGCAATTATCTCTTAAACATTATTCAATATCTTAAACATATATGTGATAGCTCACAGAACTACAACAATAAGCCATCATGTCCCAAATATTTGGATCTTTATCATCATTATGTTCCATAGAAAGTAACATCCTTTATTAAATAAAGAATATTTAAATCTATTTATAATTTGTACTAAAGTCTACTTAGCTCACCCTCTACCTCTCCTTATAGCATTAATACTAATTATTTGTATTAAAGCCTCCTTAACGATTGCTCTCATCATATCCTCTTATTCTCTAACGAGGCTCCACCTAGTTGTTCATAAATGAAAATAAGTTCTTCTATCTATTCTAGTAATTCCATACATTTATTTTCGTCTCAGCGACACAAACATTTTTTATGAATGTTTTTTACCACCAACACTCGGATCTAGACACAAACTAAGAACTAAAAACTGATCATTGATCAAATCATCCCAGAATTGTTTATTATGTGGCTGTAATTCTACCATGCTGGTAACTAAGGAACACAAAGAAATCCACCAAAACAGCGTGACAAGGAATCACCAAAATCCTTTATGCACCACCCACTTTAAAGAGTTCCAGTGTCAGTAACAAATTAACACACAATATAAGACGACAGAAGCAATGAGGAAGTACTCAAAAGCAACCCATCGACAAGTTATATTGTCTTAAACAGAGCTCAGTAGCAGAAAAATCTGTGTAGCCAACCCCAGGTAGATGGGATATTATGGTGACTTGTTATACTCGGAGGCCACAGATTAACCTGACAAGTTCAGGCGACCGTGTATAAGTTTCTCTAAGTTCATAAGCAATTGGAAAAACCTACATAATGCAGAATAATGGAGTTCAGTTTCCACTAAGCTTTGTACTAGAAATGAAAAGTTGGTTTACACCACGGAAAAGTCTAAACCGAAATTTGAGCGACAATACTTGCAGATTAACGACTCTTAAACCAATTGACCAAAATAGACGCACAAGATCAAGATCCATCAAAATTTCTATTACTACAATAATGTGTTTGTAATCTAAGGACCTTAACCAACCATGATCAAACCCCAACACCAACAAAGAACAAGCCAAGTTCACGTTTTTTATACCCATGTCTAAAAAGAAATTTCATGCTCGATGTTAATGTCATTTCCAATAAAATTAGGGAGGAAGGGAAAGTAACGATTCAAATTTTGTTACTTGCGAAGAGCAGGTGCCATCTTGTTGGTGAGCGTTCCGGCGACAATCATGCAATCGGACTGGTGAGGGCTGGGACGGAAGATTCCACCGAAGCGATCGAAGTCATAAAGCGAGGCGCCGGTGTGCATAATCTCCACGGCGCAGCAGGCGAGCCCGAAGGTCATCGGCCATATGGACCCGCGGCGGGCCCATTTCATCAAATCGTCCACCTTCGAGATCACGTACTCCGCCGCCTTCGAGAGGCCCGTCGTCAACGAGGCCTAAGGGAGGAGCGGCCTCGCGGAGAAGGACGCGCACGCCCTCTGCGAGGGGAGGAGAGCGAGGCGAGCGGTCCGCGGAAGGAGAGCCATGGCAGAGTAGTGGGAGCGACTCGATATCGCGTTGAGAATGCACTGCACAGCCCAATAACTCCCGACAAAAGGGAACTAAAAATGCTTAGTTTTTGTTATTAATAGGAGGTTCAGATCAATTACAAGGGGCGATTTTTCTGAAAAATCTCTTTATTTATTTATTTATTTATTATTATTATTATTATTTGGGGATGCTATCCGTTTTCACATTCGTTGCCTTATTTTGCTCTAATTCTCTAAACATCACTTTTCTCTCTCTCTCTCTCTCTACTTAACAATGATGATGTTCCTAATCATCTCGATGGACCTCATGATAGGACAAAAATAATAAAGCCTCCTAAAGAAGAAAGAAATAACAATAATGAGATAAAAATAATAAGTATTATAAGGCGAATGCGATAAGATTAAAAGTATAAGAATATATCAAAATAATAGGTCTCACAATGAGATATAGATAATCACGATGAGACGAAAGTTGGAAAACTTCAAGGTGAAGGAGGTGGCGACAACTATCATCACTACTTTTGTAATGAAGGAATAAAAAAGTATTAATGATAAGAATGAATATTCAAAGTATCGAAGCAAAATAGAGGAGAAAACTGAAAATGAGAGACATCATGTATCAACAAGAAAAATCTAATTTTTTTTAAAAAAATCATCTATTATATTTTTGTATGTTAATTAAACTCTTTTCTAGATAATAAAATCAAATTATTAATATTAGATTTTGATTCATTTTCCAAACTAATGGGAGGTCTATGGAAAGTCACCATTTCTTTGACTTAAATATTTGATATTCATGTCAAAATCTAACCATTTGCATGGCATAACATACTTCTGTGTGCTAATTAAACCTTTTTTTTTGTGCTTATAATGAAACCAAGTTATTATATTAGATTCCTCTAATGTCATGCATCAATTGGATTCATTTTCCAAAGTGATGGGAGATAATTGGAAAGTCACCATTTCTTTAACTTTTAAATATTTGATATTCTAGTCAAAATCTAACATTTTGAGTAGCATAACATAATGCTGTATTCTATACTTTCAGGAGCTATATAATTAAAACTCTCTTTTTGTGCTTATAATAAAACAATATTATTAATATTAGCTCCCTCTAGTTTCATGTATCAGTTGGATTTAAAATTCAAAATCTCATTCACGAGCTTAACCTCTCCACCTTTTCCCATTCTCCCATGACAAAGATGCAGGGGAAAGATATTTTAAGCTACAAGGATGCAATCTAAGACCAGAGAGTATCTACTAGCATAAACAGCAGAAAAGTTGCCCATAGTGCCGAGCAATGTGGATTGATGCAGATTTCCAACTTCGAGATTATGGTTGTCAGGAACATAGCACAGAAGGTCAGTCTCCATCTCTATCTGCTAAAAGAATTGAAACCTAACAAGTAACCACTAAGTTTAAATTTTAGCACAGGTACCTCCATCAGCAATAAGAGCAGTCTGTCAACCACTGTATTTCCACTTGGAACCATTGTTATTGGGTACTACAGATCGGTTTTCTTTGCTTTTGGGTGACTTGAACCCTTTGTCTTTCCTGTCCACCAGTTCTTTATCTGTTCCGATACTTTGTTTATGTTCTCCTTTATCACTGTCCCAGTTCCCGTCATTTAGAATATTTCCCTGAACAACAAAGAAACATGTTTCAGAACATACAATTATTGATATATGAGAAAAACAGGCTAAAAGAACAATACTACACCAATTTCTCAGAAAAATTGTCTTCATCATCATCGTCGTCGTCATCATCATCAGCTTCACCAAATTTGCCGCTCATTAGATCTTCTCGCGAATACATTTTCATTCCTGGTGCCCCTGGCATACCCTGTCCTCATAACCGCTAAAAACATCAATTTAACTAAATAGGACAAAATTGTAATATCAAACCAGTAGTTAAACTACCTCCATAGATCTCAAGATCTTTTCCATTTCAGCATCTTTAGAGGACTTGGCAATAAAAGGTTCTCCAGGAACCCTATCCTGTGAATTTGGAAGCATGGATTTATCAGTGCTTATTCCAAACAAAATCATATATCAGCAGTACACCACTCTGTCAGCAACAGCATGTAGCATGCAATCTTTTCAAGTAAGATGATACATTGTCTTGCTTGCAATCCTCAACAGTCAAAAACTGGTTTGACATATTTCAGCACATAGATAGCCAATTTCTTGCATATTTAGGCATCCAGCTCAACATGTGTCCTGCTGATGGAAAGATGGCATTGGGTATAATGCCATGCAGAAAACCAATGCGGAGTTGACACTGGACATCATGCCGTGCTATACCCTGTACACATAGTGCCAGGACCTGACCAATGCAAGCACCATGCAGGAGCAACATGCTAAGTTGTAGCACACAGGTCTTTTGCTGGAGGTTTTCAGTATGCAACAATAAAAGAAACAATGGAAAAGAAGGTCAATCATGCTGTAGAACAAAGAAAGTAACATTCTTACAAGTCCAATGGATAAGAATCTGCTGTATAAGCAGCACTTAGATACCAATGTCTTATGCTGAAAGTTCAACCTAGGTTTGACAAGAATAGCAGATTATGTCTGGTAGTATTGGCTCATTTTAGTCATATGCAAATATAGAAGTTTGCAAAGATCCCATCAAACAATTTCATATCTTTCTCCTGTATATAGACAGGTACTACACTATAATACCAAACATCTAAAATCTTGTAGTAATGGGTCAACGACCTTTCAGTGATTCAAGCTACTCTGTTATGTAATATACTTTCAGATTATGATTCAAATGGTTTCCAATCTTCTAGCAAAATGACACATCTATGACATGTGCTAAGTAGCAAGGAGGCAAGCAAAACAAAGGTCATATATAGCAACAGATGTAAGAAAGGTACAGATGGCTAAGCATCAGTACACATGCCTTCCAGCTTGCTCATTATAAAAAGAATTGTTTTTTATCATTTAAACATCTCAGTTATTATATGTAACAAATATTCTGTGGGCTTTGATCAAAAGATACACGAAAGCATACTGTAGGTCCCCAGAAGAATTGAGCTTCAGGTATGCTGTAAACTCTTAACTATCTCAAAGTATGAATTGCAACCAATTACCGCAGGAATAGGTGGTGGCTTGACAGAGCATGCTTTAGAAAGATCCTTGCAGAGAAACTTAACCAACTGATCAATTGAAGGTCTTGCACTAAAAACATATTCTGCAACATCAGTATCTGAGTAACCCATGATCTGCTGACAAAAGAATGGAAAATTACAAATATGACACAAATCTTTCTTTATATATGAACATATCATCAATGCAATAATCAAAAAACTAATTGAAGAGAACATACTAAAAGGACTAAAAGGGTTTTCAGCAGTATAATTCTAAAAGAATCAAACAAAGGCTTCCTACTATCACATCATATAATTCCTCCAAGATCTTCTAAACATAATTAAGTTTCACCAAGGAGTGATTAGCCTATACATTATGGGCGTAGACATTATAGAAGTCATTTGGGCATTCCCTTCCCAAATCAAATCTTGAATTTCTTGTTAGTCTAATGCATGTGATTAATGCAAGCAATCAAAGGAATCAGATCAGGGTCAAAAGCTCACTTGCAACACAAAAATTCTGACTTAGTTCCTAGACACAATATACACAGTGAGAGCTTTTTTCTTCCCATTGCATGACAACTTAAAAGCCCCATAACGTTCATGATGGGTTTGAAGAGTGATTACTTAGGTGAAGCAGTTGATATCCGCCTGCTATCTCAGGCCACATGGTTTGCATAATTATGAATTATCTAAAATCAAGCTATCTGAATGAGCTTTAATGCATGAAATTGCAAGTGTTGCCACAATCTATGGAGTTTCCAACAAGACAAGTCATAGAATTTGACCAAATTTAACCTGCTTACCAAAGAAACAGGTTCAATGACATCTCTATTCTCTAGTAGACATATTTTAAAAACACTACAGAGATGTTAAAGTCAAAAAGATGTCAAGGACCATTTTTTCTATTTGTGCAAACTGAAGGATCACTGTACCATGTACGTCCAGATACATATCCTATAAAAATATTAGTCCCTGTAATGTGGGCAATGTGTGAACATCAACTAGTTATCAGGAATCAATATGTTGATGACCAGCATTAAAAATATTGTTCATTTCAGTAAATTTTAAGTTAAAAAAAATGTCCATCTCTGCCATAAGTCAGAGCAGATCATCATCACAAGTAGCATTTATGTCATTTGTGCAGGAGAATCTTTAATCACATCCACAAACATACAAAGAGGATTTGTAGACAAAATATCAGGCTAGCTGCATATGTTCAGACAAATGTAGTCCTTGAGCAAAATGTAACCTGAAATATCAGTTTATAATATATATATATATATATATATATATATATATATATTGCAAGTTAGAAATCCTGGGTTATACATAAACATGCAGAATCATAGCTCTGGGAAAATGCAGCTAGCATACAAAAATATAGAATTGCAATCAAAATAGTGCTCGATTCTTAATAACATACAATGAGAGATCTAATTAGTATAGTTTTCTATAATCTCTTAAAGAAACAAAGGCATCATCAATGACCCCCTTGTATGTAGCCAAAAGGCCTAAATTTTGTGGAGTATATCAATAGTGAAACAGATTTATAGTTGCACAAATCCTAGAACATAATAGAAGTTCAGCAATGACAGTCTTCTATTAAAAAATATACACATGCTAGTGCTATATCCTGACATTACACATAAAAGTCATTTTCTATATCACACAGCATCACACGCAAAAGTTTTACCTCTTGACAAGCATGTTCAATGGTTTTACATTCTGAATTACATTGTCCTTCGATGCCTTGTTCAACCAGCTGGAAAATGCAAATGTAATAAAATAAGAAACTAAGACAGATCTGATTGTAAAAATTGTAATACAAGAAAAAGATATATCTTCAGAGGAAAGTCGTATATCAAATAATGAAATCAGCAGATGGTGACATCATATGGCTTGATTTAAACAACTAAATGGAAGACATTGAACTTCAAGTTAATGAAGTTCCATAAGTAAAATGTCTATTCCTGAAAAGGAAAAAAGAAAAGGAACATAGTTGTACCGGTTAATGTGGATACCCAACCATAATTTTAGATTTATTTCAGATACAGACTATCCAAACTAATTACTCATTTTATCTTTTCTTTACAGTCATTTATAACCAATTAAGATCCGATGAATATGAATCTTAACTGATTTCAATATAGAGGCCTTTTATAGATCTCAATAGTGACAAAAGATTCATGTAGCCGACCCTAAATAGTTGGGACTTACGGCTTAGTTGTTATTGTATAATCAATTCAAAAATTACTTAAGTATAAATAAGTTGCATTTTTCGTTTGACGATAATAAAGTATTATCAAGTTACAGGTAAGCAGTTAAAATAAGTGTAGCTAGCTTCTATTAAAGCATGCACTTAGTGCAAGGAAACCTCAAATCAGCCCACATTCCACAAAACACAAACTTGTGCATGCTCGAAGCCAGGAATGAATTAAAACAATCACACTTTTAAAAACTGTTATTAGCTTATATTTTTCTCAGTTTTTCAATTTTGTGCCATTATCAGAACAGAGCCCGCTAACATGTCGTTCATATATCTATGTAAATATTCTAACGAGATAGAGATATCCTGACTTACTATTCAGTGACCTGGAATCAGTTCATAGTTCGTTCACGTACCTCCAATTTATCACCTTTCTCAACAACGTCAATCTGGAGAATCCAATCCGCCTCCTCCTTCTTCAAATTGCAGATATTCTCGGCTATCTCGATGATCTGAAATTCTGAAACCTAATCCGACACAAAATTCGTCCAAACGAAACCATCCGACTCAGATCAACCTCCTCGAATCCGGAAGCAACAATATCATAATAAAAAAGAACGGAAAGAAAGTGAAGAGGAAAAAACAACCTTTTTGGGCGAGATCTGAGCCTCCTTCTTCTTGACCTGGTGAATGATCTGGTGGGCGATCTTCTCACAGACCTGGCACCGGATAAAAGGGATGTCTCCCTTACGAGCAGCCGGAGGTGGCTTCTTCGAGGAAGCGACGAAATAGGGAAGCGAAGAATAGATGAAAAGGAGTAGGAGAAGAAACAACGAAGAGAGGATGCGTTGGGAGAGCCTCGCCATTTCTGCCTTCTGCTGCTCTCGCTGTTCGTCGGAGTCTCTCCACAGTCGTTCTATTGGACTTGATCCAAAATGGAATCCGGACTTCGGATCGATGCATCGAGAAGAGGGGCGGATCGGACCCGCTTGAGAGCTGGCTGAACTGGACTTTGAGATTGGTGTAAACATGGAGATCCCAAGATCAAGATGGGATGCGGCTCACCTGGACCGTGTTGGATCCTTAAACCTTTCGAACCGCATCAGAAACCCCCATCCGAACTCAAAACTTTCCCCCCAAAACGATCGAGAAAATTAGGGTTAGGGTTTGCATTCTTCCCAGTCTCTTCCTGTTGCTTGCTCGATCTTTGTTAGTTCTCGAAATCCCCTGCGCCTGATGGATCCGATCATCCTCGAATCCCCAACGCGTGCCAAACCCCTCGTCTTCGGCCCTCTAGCTGGCCCCAACTTCCACTCCGTGTTGAAAGAATCCATCGATCGCTATCTCATCGAAGTCAAGAAGGAGTCCTGCGACTTCTCCGCCTTCCGCTTGATATTCTTCCGCCTGCTTCAGTCCAGCGTAGATCCCCCGATCGAGGTCATCTGGTTCTATTCTGCCCTGGGTTACCACGAAGCAATCCGGTCGAAGCGGGATGTTCTTGATCGAGTTTTTGCGATAAGAGACCTTCTCCAGCTGCTTTCGGCCTGCTCCGCGTCGTGTAATGGCCCGAAGTCGGTGGCCTTGCTCGCACCCGTTGTTTCGGAGCTATATCATTGTGTCAGAGAGGAAAAGAAGCTATCTGGGAAGGTGGCTAAGAAGATGAGGAAGGAGATTGAGAGTCTGGCAGACGGCGTCGTCAGCTATATCAGCATTTGTAGTGGAAGGAGTTCTGATGGGCAAGAGCTTTGTAATAGCTATTTGCTGCCATGTTTTATCGATATTGTTCGAGTGTGGACGGTGCAACATATTGGGGAAGGTGATGATTTAAATGTTCTTTTTCCTTTAGTTAGTGATGAGATTCGTGCCAGCTTGGGGCTAGAAAGGTGTTGGATTGGTCATTTGGCTGGCATTGTGGTTGCGGAGGCATTCTTGCTAAATTTGAGCTTGAAGGTTCAAGTAGATGGTTCACCAAGGCCAGACTTACAGAAGGAGCTGAAAGTCTGGGCTGTCAGTTCAATATCTGTCTTTCAGAATTATATTTTCTTCGGTAACTGTTCCTTTCATCTGACTTTAAGTTCATGGACATGACCGGAGGTTTAACTATCCTTAGTGTTTTTAGCTAAATTGTAAATTTTACGAGCAGAATAGATAGTTAAATATTTATAGTTGTAAGGCATGATATCGTTTTACTCTATTTGTGCCATTTCATTTTGAACATGGGGATTGGAAACATCTGTTATTGCAGTTCTTATCTTATCTCTGATTATAGTTTCTGCTTCTGTTAATTCCACTTGTGACTGCTGAAAGATTTAGGTGATTGGTACGTGAGTCACAACTAAATATTGGGACGATTAAGAAAATAAATATTGGGACAACTAAGAAAAGAAATCAATTGCACATGTGATTAACTCTTTTTCCTGATACATCTGGTTACTGCTCTACAGAGAGTAGCTTTGTTGATCTTTATTATATTACCAGACTTTATACAATTGCGTAGGTTTGTTGTGTGATTCTTTTCTGACTTCTACATGTTCAAAAACAGATATATTACTGAGGCTGCTGCTGAACCCACCGATGCCAGTTATAACCATTTTGGTAAGTTAGCAAAACTAATGAACTCCATGTGCAATAATCAGCAACTTTTAATTGACTCAAACAGCTATCTACCAACAGTCTCCAAATCTGATAGTTCTGTCAAGTGCTTCACTAATGAGCCGTGTGAAATAATCTACAAGGTCTTAGAGATTACTTGTGGAAGAATTTAAGAGTTAGTGGTTAGTGAAGGTGCATGCTTGATTGCCCATGTGAACCATGTTAATCCAGCAAACCTCTGTGACATCATTTACTTCCCTGATTGTGGATTAAGAACACTTCACTATAATAACTAGTTTCTGAAAATGTGTTCTGGCTTATGAAACTTTAACTAACTTTGGATCTTGAATAAAAGCTGCTGCAACATTAGCATATTGGGCATTTTCTTACATATATTTATTTTACCCCTCCTAATATGGTAAATTTGTATAAAAGTTGTTTCTACTTTAACAATATTAGTAATGTAGTAAAATGATTGAAAAAGAAGTAGATCGGTATTACAGGGAGCATTCCAATAGATGTAGGAGCAAGTAGGTTGGGTCAGGTTTTGTTCAAGTCATTGTCCACTTGAAAACAGTACTTTTATGAGGTGGAGTCTGGTCATGCATTTGAGAAATGTTTACTTAACTAGTTTGAGTTTGTTCAGGTCTAAGAGTTAGCTTTGCTCTGATTTAGTGGTTATATTTTTCTTTACATGAATTGCACGCATCTTTTGCCGCTAGGCTGCATTTTTGAGGAAACTGACCATTGAATCTACATACTGGGTTTGGTTGTAATGTTACCCAACTTGAGCCATCTTTAGAGGCATATAATTGCCACTAGTGGGACAATTCTGAGAACACATATCACCAGTTTCATATGTAAACAACTAAGGGCTTGGTTTTGTAGCTTTTTCCAATACCAAAAATGGCTTTGGTCATGGTCACCAAAGAAACTTCTGTGAAGGCCTACTAGATGTGTAACTTTGTGAAAAGCATTACTTTTTGCCTTTGAACTAGACTTCTTTCAACAGCCAATCTAACATTAGAGATTTTCAGTTTTACATTAATGGCCATGGCTAATTTTTTGAAAACTCAAAGATTTTATACTACTTATTACTTTGTGTGTAATCTACAAAGTTTGACTTAACAGTATAATTAGAATGGTTCTACATGTCATGGATGGACAGTACTTAGATTACCAATTTAATCTTATGTGGGATCTCATTATTTTCTTTTTAGAGTAGTTTCAACTTACTTTTCCATAAGTCTGTTTTTCCAATTCTAAAATGTGTTTTCTGATTTTATTTTGCTTTTTGGCACAGAACTCCATGGATGAAAGCTTGGTACGAAACATCCTTTATGACGCAGTGATTTTAGTTGATTATTCTTTCATAAATCCGGAGGTTGAAGGAGAACATTTTAATGATTCTACGATGAATATCATTATGAGAAGACTGATTGTTACTCATGAAGCCATACAAATTGTCAGGTCAGGATGCCACTTAATGAGATAAAGATGCCTCTGTTGATAGTAGCATTGGTGTTGAAATTTATTCTGGTAACAGGGATAAAGGAGACCACAACAAAGCTGTATCCTATACAAATGCATTTTCGACATCATGTGTTCCCAATACCTTGATTAAGTGGGCCACTTATCAAGTTGGCATGCAGAAACTCAACAGACCCAGTGCTTCCACACCTCAGTGTTTTCTGAGTTAGTATCTAGAAATTTTCATGTTCTTAGTTTATTTAATTGAATATTGATGGTTTCTTATTTATATACGAAAACATTTCTTGATCAGACAGCTTGTCTGACTTGCAGAGTGGCTTTTGGTTCTCGAAGAACAAGGGTTGAAAATTTTTGAAAACATTACAGAACTGCGAAGCAAGTTGAAATTTGAGGAAGCTAATGTCGTCTCTGACACTACAAAGTTTGATTCGGACAGCAAGAAAACAGACGATGATCTTTTCTTTTTTGATAACAAAGGGGAGGGTGACAAGGATGCTGCAGAGGACATGGAAACGGTGGATGCTGCCTTTTTTTCAGCTGCTCATTCTATGAAATCAGACACAGATAAAGGAAGGAGGAAGAGAAAAGAAATGGGATATGATGGGGAGTCACAGGTGAAGTTTGTCAAGCATAAGATCCATGACAAATCAGTCAAAGATTACTTCAAGGTTGCTGGGGCAGATAGCTTGAGTAGTGGCAGTGAGGTAGAGAATCCACACTCTTCTGATGAGATGGAAGAATGAAATTCGATGATTGGCACTAATCTGGTCATTCAATAGAAGCATCATTCCAGTGTAAAAATGCTGTATTCCTTTGTCAAGGACTTAAGCCTTGCTCATACTTCTGAACCCACATTTTGCTGATTATTCCACATCTGTGGTAGTACATCATGACTGATCAAAAGCAGGATTTTGCGCAGAGCAATCAATAATAGGCACAGCTTTTTTCTAAGGAGACTGAATTTTTGGGATTTCAATCACTTGCAAAAAAGGGTATGTAAAACTTAACGTTTTTCGATATAGCGGAGCTATGACTTTCATGCAACTTTCAGATTTACATGTAGACAGCAGTAGTTTATGTTAACAGACTGTCAAGATAGATATATCATGTCATGAATTTGCTGTAGAATTTGATAGTAAAAGAAGTAAAATTCTTGGAGTATATGATTAGACCATGAAATTTTGGATGCCATGGTCAATGGGTTACTTGTTGTTTTGGATGTGTGTATTGTTTGCATGCCTTGAAATTAAATCATGCTTGATTTTGCTGTCACTGATTTTGCTCTTTTTGATTTCATGCTTACCAATTATTCTGTATTGGTATTGAGCAAGCATGATCACTTCCAACCCAGGATGAAGTAATTCATGAAAATGGTGAATTAAACAATATAAATATCGGTTCTAGATATGATGAAATAATTCATCAAAAAAATTGAAAGGCTCTGTTATTCTCTTTACTAGAGCAGTCAAACAACTCCATCGATACCGGTCCGACGGAGATATCTCCAACAGTTAATGTTCGCCTCTGCGGGATGGAGTTTGGTTCGCACCGGAAGGGGGCCACGTGGGACCGCCAGTCATCAAACCCAATCACCTCACGCGTGCCGCTACCTTCGCAGTGCGGGCCCCACGGACCGCTGCGGCCGTCCATCAGGCCCTCCGCGTGATCCAACGGCAAAAGGTCACGGGATCGGAGAGACTCGTGGCTTCCCGTTCGCTGGCGAGTCAAGCTGAGCACCGAGCATTCGAGATTCGCGCAACATGAATCGGACGGTCACGATGGATCTCTTCCGATGCCGTTGCGTGGGTTATTTGGTCGTTTCGCGTAGCCGGTTCGTGACTAGCAGTTAACGTCACCCTCACGGGGCCCGCAGACAACGGGAAAATACTGGCTGCCAGCCGTCAGGTATAGATTAGGGAGAGTGAGTCGGTGAGGTCATATGTGGCTTAAATTTCAAAAGTATACCTTCAAATATGCACAATTAACAAAAACAATTATCGCCTTTAATGATTATGAATGTTAAAATATACGAATTCCAAAGGGGTAATATTTTGAGATTTATTATTTAAAGGGATATAAATTATTTTTTAATATAGAAGGACAGAAATTTAAAATATAGACTGTTTTTTAAAATATTTATAGGTTATAAAAATCCGGAAAAAAAAAAGGGCGCTTGGTATATAAGAGATGAGGGTTCTCACCACGGGAGCTTCTGTGTCTGTTTGTGTGCATGTGAGAGAGAGAGAGAGAGAGAGAGAGAGAGAGAGAGAGAGGAGGAGGAAAGGAGGGGAGCGTCGTCAGTGTCTCGGTCGGGAACCTCCTCCTCGTCCTATGGGTGAATCGAGCAGCTCGGTGTCGGTGGATGTGGAGAGGATATCTTTCGGTGGGAAGGTTGGGGGCCCTCTTGAATTGTTCGTCGACACTGCTTTCTGTCCGGCAATGACGTGATTAGTGGCTGGAATGTGGTTCTCGATATTTGCTTTTTTGACTGGTTGTTTTGTTTTCTTTTGCTGATTTTCCCGTGGATTTGGATATTGTATTGAGAAAAAAGATGAGATTTTTTATTATTTTGACGGCTCTTTTGCTTCTTTAATTTTTTTTTTCCCTTGAACAATGTACTTGTTTGGCTTCAACACCTGACAAAGTTCAATTCTTTTCTTGGTGTTCTGCTGTCTTGTTGGTTTCAATTCGGTTGACCATCTTTTGCCTCTCGTGGGATAAGATGTTTTCTGTCGGTATCAATTTTGGTGCTTTGGTTCTGTAGATAAACAGCTATACCGCACTAAATTCAGAGCAAGTGAAATTTTGATGTCATAGATAGCAAGAGCTGTGTTTATTTCTTTCTCTTTTAACTCGGTTCGTCGGAGATATGTTGTTTATCTTATGACGACGACTTTTCAAGGTTTTGGAGAATTGACACATGGTGCATCCATGTTTCTGGCGTATGCTTCATGCGAATGGTTTGTTTCCGTTGACCAATTCTTGTTAATACGGCAAATTCTTTTGGTTAACAGTTAGCAGAAACTTGATTCATATGCATGAGCTAGCATTTCTTAGAAATTTGTTAGAAACGCTACCAAGACTAACTATAGGTGGAGAGCATGTCTCCACTTGCAAAAGCTATGTTCAGTGAAGCTCTGTTTTTAATTTGAAGAAAAATTTGAATCTAATGCTATGTTGCCTTCCTCTAGTCATTAGTTTTTCTGCTTCTTCCTATTTCTCAGAATCATTCCATTTTGCAAAAGACATAAGCAAGGTGTTTATTATAGTGTCTACAGTTGTTAGTCACTGGTTTTAATGAGCTTCCTTTATTCCAACTTTTCCTGATATGAAATTTGTTCTGTTGAGAAAGCCTATCTAACTTTGGAAACTGTTAATCTTTCTGCATTTGTATAACTAGATTGTTGCTCTTGTCCAAGTAGATTTGCAGCATGTGCCTTCTGATGGTTGTGCTACCTAATCTTCCTGCATCAGGTCCTATTAAACAGCATATCTGTTCATTTTATTGTTGCTTAACATTGATTTTACTTTCATGTTGGTCAACAGGAACATCTTATCAAAACCAGTCATGGCACAGTATCCGTTTCTGTGTTTGGAGATCAGGACAAACCTGCACTTATCACTTACCCGGATGTTGCTTTGAATCGTAAGTGCAATATCAACAAAATGGCTTCTCTAAGTCAAAATCTCCAGGTTTTAACATGTTAGTCTTGAATGGTTTTAATCAGATTCTCTGACGTTAAATTGATCTGCTCATGGAAATTTTTAGCTCTCTGCTGCTTAATGCCTCCATTTTTCATTTAATATCCATCATTTTTTATCCTGTTTTTCTTGTGGATCTTATCTGCCCATAAATGATATCTTACTAGGTCCTGATTGTTCTATTACAAACTCTAGATCTGTTACTGGCAATACATGCTTATGTTGAGTTTTGAGTTTTTGGATCATTGGGTAATCCTACACATTACAAAACCAACAGTTTTTGGTATGTCTAAATTCCTTTTCTATGATGTTGTTCAGATGTTTTGTGCTTCCAAGGATTATTTTTTTGCCCTGAAGCTGCTTCGCTACTTCTTCACAATTTCTGCATCTACCATATCTGTCCTCCAGGTCATGAGGTTGGTTGCTTGGTCACAGCCTTATTTGAAGTGACTATTATATCCTATTATTCTGTTCTATTGGTTGATCATTTTCTGATCATGGCACTGAGATGCCTACGTTTTTATACTCAGCTGGGAGCTGCTCCAATTTCTTCCCGTATTCCTATCCCTTCTGTTGATGATTTGGTGGATCAGATCGCTTATGTTCTTGACTATTTCAGGTAACAATCTGCAGATTGTTTGATTATATACCCCTGGAACTTATATATGTGATGCATTATGTTGAAGCATGAGTTATCTAACTCTATCCATGCTTTCTAGGTTAGGTTCAGTTATGTGCCTGGGGGTCTTGGCAGGGGCATACATTCTTACACTTTTTTCCGTATGTATCCTTAAAGTGTTGCTTCTGAGCATTACTTTGTAGATTTTGACTGTCTTCCGCACATGCTTCGCAGATCAAATATAGGGAGCGTGTGTTAGGATTGGTGCTTGTATCTCCTCTGTGTAAAGCACCCTCATGGACGGAGTGGTTATATAGTAAGGTATCGTCTGTACTTATGTCATGATATTGAGTTTTGAAGCTGATGAAGAGAATTTGGTCATCAGATACTATGCAATTTGCTCTACTTCTATGGGATGTGTGACTTGATAAAGGAGTGCTTGCTTCATCGGTACTTCTGTAAGGTAGTTCTCATCTTCGCTGCCTTTATCTATTTGACTTAGCATCAATCTCATGCTAGTGGTGATCTCATTCTGACCTTGTCGGTAGGAAGTCTGTGGCAATACCCAGATCCCTGAGTCAGAAATTGTCCAGGCCTGCAGAAGTGTGAGTATTCCTTTATTTAGTATCGGTTAAATCCGTAGGTAGAAATTATTATTACCGAATAGGAACTTTCAGTATGTGATCCTTTGCAAATATTGCTAATGATTTTGCATCTACAGCTGCTGGATGAGAGGCAGAGCATAAATGTGTGGCGTTATCTTCAATCGATTAACCGGTATTGTTCTATATCTTTCCTTTGATGAATGTTCTTTTTGTTTCTAACGACAGTAATCCATTTTAAGCTTAAATATTGTATGCAAGCAGCAGATACGACATCACTGAGGGATTACAGCAGCTGCAGTGTCGGACACTAATATTTGTTGGCGAGAACTCTCCGTTCCATTCTGATGCACTTCACATGATGTCGAAACTAGACAGCAGACATAGTGCCCTGGTTGAGGTATGATCCTGACATACTATTTCTTCATAGCTTTATAATGGATACGACTGCTGCACTTGAAAAGGATTATGACTAGGTTAGTTTTCATATCCGTATCAATGCTACTTAGTGCAGGTCCAAGCATGTGGTTCACTGGTGACCGAGGAGCAACCCCATGCCATGCTGATACCTTTAGAGTATTTCTTCATGGGTTATGGCTTTTACAGACTCAACCAATTCACCGACAGTCCACGCGGTCCACTTAGTCCATCCTGCATCTCCCCAGAGCTGCTGTCACCCGAAAGCTTGGGCATAAAGCTAAAGCCCATCAAGACCAGGGTGTCGGTTGAAGTTTGAGGGTGGCCGGTATGAGCAGTGGCCAGGTTGTGTTCATCTTATGTGGCATGTAAGATTGGATCTGGATACATTCTCTAGAATCTTAGATCAAATTCTTTGGTTGTAGATAGAAAAGTAGGATGAAGGCATCATGCTCTCACCTGTAAGTGTCCAATATTCATGATGAGCTAGCTAATAATAACGAGGCATGTAGAAGACTACTGGGTCTAACTGATGCTTCTGTTCCAAGGAAGGTTACAGAAAACATTTTCATGTGTTGTTGGAAGGTTGATGATGCTTGCTTCATTTCTTTAGCAAGCTTCTTTTTTGCTTTAGGATGACAACTTTATGCTTATTTTTATGGGGGTTTGCGAAAAGTTGTAGGCTGTCAATGTCAATGTAATCTTAGAGCCGTTCATATCAATATATGCAGTCTTATTTTTACAAACATGAACACTAATTGCCGAGATCTACTTGAGAAGATCAACCAGATTAATCTAGCGTTTGCTCAAAGTGGCACCTTGGACATATAAATTGTCTGCTTAAGCTGTCATCTTCCAGTTCCAGCTCACATGAACGAGGTCGAATCTGCAACAGCAGGAATATTTTGATGCCTGTGTACAGTGCCTCGTATATATATATATATATATATATATATATATATATATATATATATATATATATATATATATATATATATATATATATATATATATATATATATATAT